TGTCGCTTCTTAATGTTCCCGTCGCTTTACAAGGTGTTGGCCTTCCTTGTCCAGCGGCTATTGAATTCCTTCTAAACGAGTATTGACTGTTGCTCATGTAAACTGCGTAGTTACCGTAGTCACTCGGAACCTACAAACCGGTTCAAGATGTGCTCCCAACGGCTTGCGGGCACCCGCATCTCTGGTCATGCGCAGGGTTTCTCAAAAATGGGGCCTCAGATGCCTCAGGACGCGGATTATAGGAGTCCCGCTCAAGGAGGACCGTGTTGATGACAGAGAACCACCAAATATTCATGATTGTCATCCGCGGCGATATGTAATAGTGGTGAGCCATGTATACAGTAGATGGCCATGATGAAGATGATGCAAACGATGATGATGGTGATGATGACGACAGAAAGGAAAACAGTGTTGGCAATTACCATGACAACTTTACCCAGCATTTCTCAACGCTAGGTAAGTTGGTCGGTATCTCCTTTTAAGACGGAGGACTGCAGAAAACCCTTTATATGAGCCACTGTCTAAACTCCTAGTATCCCCCTTAATAAGCCCAAAAGTTTAGACTATAGCTCATATAGGACCACCTCACCACCATTGAAAGCTCAAGGAGTCAGGATGCAGAGCTGGATCCCACACCAAACGCGCTGCCTCCTGAAGTCCTGCATGGCTCGGGAGGTTCGAAAAGTAGGGGTCCTGCTTAGGGTCCCCATAGTAGGGATTCTAGGAGGTTAGAGCGTAGAAACCCCATTTAATCCGGGCTCGTGCAGATGACTTTAGATATATTTCTTAGTGTCTTCAAAGCCCCATTAATACGAGATCGATTGGCAAGCGCATTGAGGAAGCCAACAGCCATTCAAGCGCAGCCGCTGTCCGCGTAGCTTGCACTGGCGATACCTACCAGAAGCCACTCATACTTAAATTTGGGACGCGGGTGCCCCACTGAACATGCCCAAGTATACCAACTGTCCGAATAGCCCTAAGGACGCTCACAAAGGAGAAGCTGAGAAAAGCCTGCTTGAGCTTAAGCAGCAAGGGTTTACAAACAACGACCGCACTGTCGCGCCTGTGTTGAAGTTGCTCTTAAGGAGTTTAGATGACGAAGAATGTGGCTTCCTTTAAGCGGCAACCTAGTACTAGTGCAAGTTCCTTCAAAACAACCCAGGAGTGTAAGCTAGTGCGCTCAGAGCTCTGAATCCATCACTGAGGTTTGGGGCTAGCATTCAACATATTCTAAGACATGTTTATGGGTCCCACCTAGCAGATGCAACTGGCGTCCGAGCACGTCTGGAATGAATGATTTGAACAGGAACTTGGGTGGATGCATGTAATGCAGACAGGCGGGGCACACGTGAATTTGATTCTCCATGTCTGTGAGAACCATTCACAACATGTCGTTCCTTGCAGCTGAAATCCGTTTCAATGTCGTATAGACCCCAATTTTCTCATGTAGGCTGCGGGTCCTTCAACCTGCCTCGTGAGGTTCCGGAGAATCCTTCGCTGGCATAGCTGTGGGTGGCTTTGGATTCAGGTCCCACCCCGAGATATGTTGGATACCCCAAGTAGCCAGCTAGTTATCAGCTCTATGAGAAGAGCCCTTGCGAAATATAGACCCTATAATCCATGAGGACAAACCCCATGATCCTTGTAACTCCTATATAGCCACAGGATTCCTCTGACTACCCGTATGTTGAGAACACACACAAACACTCACAAACCCTTCCCAAATAATTGCGTTGAATCTCCATACCTTTAGGTCCCCCCCTGACCCCGAAACCATAAACTCCAGCGCTCGTCCCTAGCAGAACCCTCCTTGTACCCCTTAGATAGTGGTATATCCCTAATAGTTGGTATCCAAGGTATATAGACTGTAGATGGAAGGTCCATGTACATAAAACTTATACCCCAAGCCCTGCATCAACAAACCCAAACGAAGACCAGGCTTCAGAGCTTGTTGTTCAAACTTCTGGTCCAGGAAGCTTCCTTCGTAAGCAAAGGCCCTCTCATGGGTTTTGGGTAAACGATCAAGTAGGGGTACCTTGAGAAATATTGAGGATGTATGTATGGCCCACCCTGAAGAGTTAATAGGGATTCTTGAGACTGCAGCTGGCATCCGCTTGTTGACTGGGTGCATGCAGTAGAGCGTGAGGAGTCATGTGGGGGTTGAATTGTGGACTTGTGCTTACTTTCAACATCTAGTCCACTGAAGTAGCATGACAAAGTAGGAAGGGAATTTCTATTATCAGCGTAGGGTGGTTGGGGGATTCTGCTTAGGGCAACAGGGCTATACAGGAATGATATCAAGATGACAGCAAAACTTGGGGGTTGTGCGGAGATTGCAAACTAACTATCTACGTAACAGCGCTGTGCAGGCTCCATTTGGCTATACAGGTCTTGCACAGGTTTGCCTTCATCCCCCAAGCCGCCCAAGCCCTTGCCCTACAGTTTTCTGACCGCGCGGCGGATGGCATCCCGGTCTACAGATTCCATGGCAATCCACCCGGAAGATCCCTTCCGGAGAGGTGTTTGCTGGTTCTTCGTGCTGCAGGCGTGGCTCCTTCTAATACGCATCTCTTGCAGGTGCGCGAAAATGATAGACATGACTACGCCTTATACTACGGGCCCTTTATGAAGGCCGAAAAGCCATGGTAAGCATCAATACTGCCACCACAGGAGGAACCACATTTGAACATTCAAAGGTTAAATGTTTTGCAGAAATTGGTCAGGTATCATCTTGCCAAGCGCAGTGACAAATATGAAGCTACGAGATGTACTGAGCTTTTGCACTTTTGGTAAGCAAGGATTCGTCAACAGTGGATTTGTTCAGGATTTTGTGTGTCATGTGTGTGCGTCACTTGGAGGAAGCTGGTCTTCAGTAACTAACGAGGGTTGAAAGACAAGCGCATATCAAACCAATGACCAAGTAGGAAGCCATCAGCGCTCTTCTTCGCAGGACGCTGTTTCCAACGTCTCAAGCCGGAACATTGAGGATTGGAAGGTCGTAGCTCAGAACCTAAAGTGGGCTCTATCTATATATATGTATATATATATATATATCAGGAAAATACTTAAACGCCTCCTCAGCCAAAAGCATGGTGCTGCTAACCCGGGCATTTCACACGTGCTCACCACCACGTGTTTGTTCAGTGTGCTTGCATGTATTTACCATGGCCACTACTGCTCTTAGCTTTTCATTGCAGCTGTCCGTATTGCGCTTTTCAAGGTTTCCTTGACAACGACTCTGAACCCACTAGTCTGCTACTAAGTTACTACTATGATTCCGTTAGGCCTTTCGTTCCCATGCAGATTCAGACGCACGTTTTTCAATCAGCGCTCCGCAAGTCTCGAGGCGGCCCCCATTGTAGCAGATATGAAATGCCTGCTCGCCAGCCAGGCAAGGAACACACGGGGAATATCTCAGGACTGCATCGCAGGTTATACGGGATGTATGCACAAGAGCAGTAACAAGGAGCGGCAATCAGATTCTTACAGGCTTCTATGTGAAGCGAAGCCCTCGTGAGGTTCGTGCAGAAATGTATGAGCAAGTCTTGAGGTCCTCTACCGTAATCCAGGTCGAAAGCACACTCCCAGGTGTGATTTTAAAGTGCAGCTGTGCTGTGAGCGTCTCGTGTTCGCCTCCCTTGATGTTAGGAGTTCCACTGCGGCTGCCATCTGGTCCGGGGCAGGAAGACAACACATTGGGCAATGCCCCTATTCCGGCAAGAATTCTTATCATTTGCCTTGCAGCGCTGCCCCAAGAGTTCACGCTGATGATTGTACTGATGTCTGGGCTATGTCCAGAGGAGCTGTAAGGATGCGTGCTAGATGGCATGACAGGCCAGACATGAAGACGGGCACTTCGCAAAAGTCATGCCAACCGAAAAAGAGTCCTGTCTGTGTGCAAACTGTCAGTATATCATGTTGGACAGTACAGGGAATGTTTAAATATTGAGAGCCCTCCACGCAGACCCAAAACATGGAACTGGATTCCGACAGGACTCATCCCAAAGGGTCCATGTAGGTATATGGTATATACTTAGGGCCCAAAGGGGTTCCCATATACCTACTTTAAGGCCCAAGTATAACCCATATAGCTACATGGACCCTTTGGGAACTCCACATCCAACCCTGCTGCGCCTGCGCTTCCCACGAACATCACAGGTCTGCTGTCGCTGCCTTCAATTCGACGCACGGATTCGTGCAGTAGGTCCCGATAAAACTGGAAAGTCGGGGTAGCTTAGCCAGCAGAAGCAGCCGTAAGGTTTTCTTGGGACAGCTCTCTTCTATGATAATTACTGTGGAATGTCTTAAGAGGTCTTGAAAGTTCCATGTTTCAGCGGCTCCAGATCTGGGGATAAATAGGCTGAGCCATGAAGGAACCTTAGTGGCAGATGACTTCCTTGTGCATGCTCTCTGCCATCCCTTGGCAAATTCATCGCAATTAGTGCGAGAGCATCTCCTAAATCCTCCGTGCAGCTCCGCATCGGGAACCGCTCTTGGAAGCCCTTGAGACCATCCCTGTACAAGACAGGGAAGAATCTGCCTTCAAAGATACCCCTCCCTCACTCACAAACACACTCACCAATTTAATTACAGTAGAAGTGTAGTCTTTAAAGCAATTCTATGGAGGATGTATAGAAACTCTTACGGCTCCGATCATCCCCCCCCTCAAGAAAGAAGACATGCCAACGCGTGCACTCCCCAAACATCTACGACCTCAAGCCCCAGACCACTCAAAAACCGCAGTATTCCATGAACACCAAAACCCTAAACCCAAGACCCAAAACCCATAAGCTCCTAACCCCCCTAAAAACTACCAAGCCGCACACCCTAAAGCCCTGAACCCCCAAAAGCCAAAATAATTCCTGCGCCCATAAACCCCCCCAACCCAGGGTACAGGGTCTAGGGTTTAGGGCCCTATACTAAATGGTAGTTTCCCAAAAGAAGGGGAACCAAATATAGACCCCAAAATATTATAGTCCTTATTATGGGGACCCCCAAAAGGGTACCCCTAATTTTGGGAAACTCCCAAATCATCCAACCCAAAACCCTGTCAGCCGGCCTTACTTTGCAGCCACTGATCCTTTGGTTTCCGCAGGAGGGTGAGGAGCGAACCTTGGACACGGTGATCCAACCTTATTGGCAGCGTAGCGTCACTTCGAATTTTGTGGCTCAGGGTTTACTTTGGGTTGCAAGTCTTTAGGGCTTAGGGTTGAGGGTTCAGATCCTTGAGCCTTGAGCTCAGGGTTTTCTGGGCTTTACGTCTAGAGTCTAGAGTTTAGGTGGTCCTTCCCTGGAAACCTTGCAGTGGCTGAAACATGCAATCGATGGGGATTCCGCTCTAATTGGGGGTGTAGGAAGGCTGTTACGCAATGAGCAGGGGCTCCCGATTTTGAGAATGTCCAGGAATGTAGGGAGCTGTGGGAGTCGGGCAGACAAAACTCTATGTGCTAGGTCCATGTAACTCCGACAAAATTTCTACGCAGTCCCTCCGCAACCCATATACGCCATGCTCTAGCTGCAAAATCACACCACAACAGTCCTTGAATAATCCCGAATTTAGACATCTTAGGAGACGCAGACTTACGCTCTACACTGTTATCCACTTCACTGCTTCATAAGTTACAGGGGAAACAGCCAGGCCACTTCGAGGCATCTGAAGCCGTGAGAAGGCCCTGCTCCTTGCTAGATGGGGGTCGCTTCCGAAAATCAGGGATACCCCAAAAATGCAACAATTTGTGGGGACTATAGCTGGATGTCCAGGGCTCTTGACCAGGATCAAGAGCAACTCTTAGGTTGAAGGCTTGCATGGGGTCTTCTCAACGCAGCTGTGGCAGTTTTGTGGATCTTTGGGGTTTGCGGTGAGCATAAGGGGTGCTAGTGGTCCTAGTCAAAGATTGCGCAGGGATTGCATTGAGAGCTCCCATGCAAACGTCACGGACTGTAAGGGTTAAGCCTTGGAGTAGAATCTGGTGGTTCACGTGGAGATGACAGTATGACTTCCTCAGCAAAGCCTTGAACAGGAGTTACGAGGATTGCAAAGGGAGGTACCGATTGCAGCAGCATGGGCCTGACCTCCGTTCCGGCATGCCTGAGGGTGAGGGTTTGGGGTTCTATATGAAGGCATCAGGATTCGATAGTAGCCGTTTTGGAGATTTTGAGCTCAAGCTTCCAACACGAGCAAGTCAGCCCAGCACGTTTTTTCAGCAGCCTACCTGTAGAGATCTGGCATGTTAGAATTACGGTACATGTAGCCCGGGCTATGGGTTCCTGTATTGAAAGCTGAACCTGCAAAAAGGAGAGGACAGATCAGGCCAAAGAACCTAGCATTCAAGTATCCTGGCTTCCCACTGCTACCCGAATTCCTCCCGTAATTGTAACTCATTTGAGGATGACCTTGAGCCCAGTTAAGGTTAACTGAGGGGTGACCTAGGGGTAGTATAGAGGGGCGATAGGGTAACCTCTCACAGTAGAAAGATGGACTGACTTTGTCTTGCTGGAGTTGAGAAGGGTTAGTGTTGCCAAAATCTTCTCCGCACGTTTCAATCTCAACATTGTTATGTCTGTATGGGTTGCTCTGACATCACCACTTTTTAGCCAGCCTAGTATATGGCTTGAGCTCTACATGCTACCAACTCCCTGGCGCACATACGAAACAGCACTCTAAACCCTGAACCTTAAGCCAATCCCTCTCAACCCCAAAGCATTAAACCTTGGCTGGAACCCTATGTTCTACACCCTAAACTCTAGAACCTACTCTTTCACCTCTAAACCCTAAACCCCAGAGCCTCAACCCTGGGGTCCTTGAGCTCGGCTACCTCATCTAGCTGCTCCTGCTGTCAGACAACTACAAGATAGCTAAGGGGTACATAGGGATATAGGGATGTATAGGAATAGAGGGGTACAAAAGGCTATAGGTACATACCACAACATAGGGGTCTATAGGGAGATATAAGGGCATAGGTGTATATAGGGACGTGTGGACATAAGGAGTAATATGTTCTTCAGGTCCACATGTTGTACCCCGGGCTATACTTGAGGAACCTAAGCCCATAAACCTCACCCCCACCGAAGCCACTTAAAAACCTGCCTGACCTTACTATACCAAACTACCAGATTTTTCAGGGATTCCAAGAGTGTAGGAGCAATTCGTGTCATGCAGGATTGTTAGGATCAACAGCTATTAGCCTGCTCTCCACAAGGCTGCAGTTCGCAAACCTAACATCAAACACCACAGTATGAGATCTGCCTACCCTTATGTACTTGCGACCTGAAAGACACTAAATTCTCCCACAACCCGAACCTTGGGGCTCCAAGGAGGCACTTCTTTTGACTTCAGACCCCGAGACGCCCAATCTTTTGAGGCTTGGGAGCGGGGTAAACCCGGGCTCCCTCCAGTTCCTCCAAAACCCGAAACCGCATCTCTTATGTTATACTATGGTACATAATAGTATATCATAGTATATTATAGTATATGTATATTATAGTATATTATCGTATATTAGAAGATATTATGGTACATTATGGTCTTCTGCACTCCTGTAGCAGCTTTCGGGCAAGCATCTCTGTCCTTTGCGGTGCAAGGATTTTGGATGGGTTTTAGGTTTAGGGTGCTCGGGTATGGACTTATGGGATATCTGAGATTTCTGGGTGCAAACAGAGTTCATAGCAAAGGTTTGTTGGGATCGACCACAGAAGAATCCTGCGCATGAGTCTTTCAGTGCTGCATAGAGTTTACAACTACCACCTTTATTGAAATCCTAACTTGACGTCTTCACATGGATCCCCCAAGTACCCTCCATAGGGCCCAACAATCCAGAAGTAGGACTTGCATAATAGACCCCAATTTGGCCCTTCCCTTATATCCCTTAGACCGGGCCTGGCCAAAGTCACGAGATTTTCCGGCAGCGTTTGCAGAAGCCTTGTGGCCTTCAGCTGGTGTTGAGGGTGGCAGGCGGAGAGAGACCCCCAAAAGGGGGTTGTATAGGGATATATGATGCATAGGGCAATGGAGAAAAGATAATGGAAACGGTTACATCATGTAGAAAATTTAGGGTCTAGGGCACAGGGTTAAGAACAACACCACACCCCACCCCTAAGAGTAAACTCTCATGAAGAGGTGTCTTTTTTATTAGGGAGTAGGGGATAAGTCATCGCAGGGAAGACTGGAGGTGCCATCATCTGGGCAACTCAGTTCGGGTTTAGAGCTTAGTATAGGCTTTATCGTTTGTCTTGCTGTTACGGCCCCAAGTATCTGTCCCCACCAAGACGTCCCAAAGCTCGAAAAATTCTTGGAGCTCCGCTGCAAAGCCCCCTTCGCACTGAACAACTATTCGGGGGATGTTTACTATTAGGGATGATGGGGTTAGGGGGTGGAGGATTCTGACCCTGAATAAGATGGTAGTTTCCACTATCTTTTCCATTTCTCCAGATACCCCTATCTAACCCCCAAGGTTCAAATCTAATCCTTGTCATTGCACAGATCAGGTATCTAATGTGTTTTAGCAGACTACGCAATAAGAATTGGGTTTAGGGTTTAGGCTTGAACACTGCTGTACGTAGCATGCAACCCTAAACCCTGAACCCTGACCCCTGCCTTGTTACAACGGGATAGTCCACTGCTTGCAACTCTAATGGCTCCCTTGCAAACCATAGAGGTTCATCAGTCTAATCATGGCCAGTTCTAATCCCATCCCCTACTATAAAACAGCAGAAAGCCCCACCCCGTAACATAACATGTTCCCATTTTGGTATGCTTTAGGATATGTATATCGCGGATATTTATCTAGCATGTATTTGATATGAGGGCGGGATTGCTAGAATGCCACTTCGAGCACATTAGGCTTGGGATGTGACGACTGCGGATCTCTAAGGGAAAAGGGCAAAGCAGACTTGCCAAAACGACGATCGGGACTGTTCTTGTGCACGATCTATGAAAGACTACAATAGAGATGGTTTGCCTTTCTGTCCATATGTTTTATGTAGTTGCTGCATTTAGATGCTTAATTTCCAAGGTCCCCATGTTGCGAATGCACCGAGAGCAAATGGGAAGAATGCCGGTTCTACTGTTGGGAATGCTGGCTGTCAGCACGGGAATGGAAGTTCGCTCCATTATCTGCAGCCATGAGCTTCAGTACGTCTTAGCTGTCAGCAAAATAGATGGAAGCCACATTCCAGTTCATGGACCTCCAGGACTTCAGCCGTGCTTTCCGCAGCCACAAGGTCCTGTACCTGCTGGCTGTTTTCATAATTTGGTTTTTGGCCACTGCTGGAAGCAAGCCCAATTTGAGGCGAGAAAGGGTCAGAGAACGAGTTTTTGCCAAGTGCTCATCTATGGGGGGTCTTGTTGGCAGGTGCCTCAGTCCTTTGATTTTGCCCCTCGAAATACCTAGTCCTGATCAAGGAGCATTTTGGGCTTCGGAGCCTCTCGTGTCAGAAGAAGTGCCCTCAAGTGCTTCCGTCAAGTTGTTGCCTTCAGTTGAGTAATATAACCCCCATATGTACCTATCTATATATACATATATGGTAATACCTATATATATACATATAGATATAGATATACTATAGTAGTTTCCATTTTCTTTCCATTATTCCCTATAATATAACCCCGAGGGATATTAGGCGGGTCCACCAAGCTGCTCTCCATCTTCTACATTGGGGTTATATTGAGGTTATATTAAGGGATAATGGAAAATGAAATGGAAACTACTAGAATGGGTTATATAGGGTTTTATATTGGGGTTTATAGAAGCTGCTCTTCATCTTCTACAGCGGTATGAAAGATCTCCTCACCAACATGCTGTGCTGTTTATCTTTGTGTTGTGTAAGGGCTGGTTGTCCTCTGTGACAAGATCTTTGGAGTGTCTCATCTCATTTGAGGAGAGGTTTGTTTGGAGGACCTAGCACATCGTTCGCTTTCATTTGAGAAGCCCGTCTGATGTTGATGCAGAAAGGTGTTAATTGCAAGCTGAAAGGTCGAAAGTTGACCTGCGAGTACTGGATCTAGGCTATATTCTCCACTCTATACCCTAAAATCTAAACCCTTAACCCTATTCCCACTTTGCTACTTTCCCAAAACAGGGGGACCCCAATATAGACACAAAAATACTACAGTCCTTAAATGGTACCCCTAATTTTGGGAACCCCCAGTTAGGCCAGCATGCAGGCCTGCAGACCCTTAACCCTAAACCCTTAACCCTATTCTGAATATGGGTCAGCTAGCAGGCCCTCAGCAAGCAGGGCAGGCTACCTCCACACTATCATTGTGGAAGAAGCCTTGAGCAAGTCAGTCATGATTTCAGGGAGTCATAGGGGTAACATGGGGGGTTACACCAGGGTAATATAGGGATGACTGTAGAGGCAGTATAATGGGGATGAATGTAGGGAGAATACAAGGGCAACGTAGGGCGTAGTGTCGGAGCAATGTCGGGGGTTGGAGATGTGGAATGCTCTTGCCTTCATGTGCGCGCGTCCGGTAAAGCACCGTGTTGGACGGAGACAACATGAGCGCGTCACTGTTTTACGTACCTCGTAGCTGGGGAGCAAGACTTACTTGCATCTCTGCTTCGTTGGTCCTGGCGCTACTTTCACTTGCCCCCCTTCCGGTTAGGAGCGGTGTCCTGACAACTCATGTTCAGTTTCCATCTTTGCTTGGGGGAAGGTAGCAGAGTTTTAGTCTGTGGCCCTTGCTCCTGTCTTCTAAGTCCAATGTTGAGGCAACAGCCCGCAACTGCATATGATCTCTAGCCTATACTCCTTCAAGGGGGTTATCTTGGGGGTCTCTACAGGGAAGTATTGTTAGAGGTTATGAAGGGGGATACTAGTTGCTAGTTTAGGCTATAGCTTATATGACAGGGATTGCCCGGGGGTAACCCCAAACCCGAGCGCAAGAAAATGCCACAGGCACAGAAACCTTCTCTGAGGTCTGTAGTTTCAAACTACTCTCATTAGCTCACCTGAAGTCTATACAACAAAGCTCCAATGCAGGAGCTTCCTGGAGACTCTGCGTCCCATTCTACAAAAGTCTTCTCAAGGCAAATGCGGTGATCCTTTTTGAAGCCATTTACGCGGCCCCAACGTTCAGAGCGTGATGTGAGAAGAAGAACCATGGCACCACAGTAAGTGTAGCAAGCAAGCGTTAGCAAACTACAAGAAAGTTGAGAAAGCTTCCTCCCATATACTCTTACAGTTCTTCAGCGTGACGTACTTAAACGAAATCGGCTCTTCAATGGCAAGCAACGGGGTAGTTCCTCTCTGGCATTGCGGTGAGCTTCGAGAAACGAAAGCACCTGAGGTCATTTCGGCCACTCAGCACTCAGAACATCACTGGAGGCGGAGATGTAGGCGGAGGTGGAGGCGGTGGCGGCGGAGATTGACCAGAAGCAGCGCAAACCGAACGGCAAGATGAACATTTTCCCAGGGGAGAAGGGACAGGGAATTCTGACGGGCCTTATCCAGCCTCAATATCCAGCTTGCCGCGATTTGTGCCAGCTCTAAACGCCCCAGTGCCCAAACAGGATATGTGTAGGCCCTAAGTACTTGGGGCCTTTTCTACATCCTCTGTAGGTACTTGGAACTTCAGGGACTTATTCTTTCTCCTGGCACCACGCAAACTCATAGGCCCTGGAGTGGCTGAACTTCAGAGAACTGCTCAATTCCACCAAAAAACATATGGGTTGTTCTCGAAACTATGGGCCCCTTTTGGTTCTAGGTTGCATTACGGCACCTAATATCTAGGGGTACCAAAAAGGGACTCCAATTTCAGGAACTACCCATATGCAGTTCTACATCTGCTGAATCTAACAACATGGCACCTGCCAGTACCAATAATAATCTCAGCTTCTGGAAAGGAACTCTGCTTGGATATCTGCTTTAATTTCTTTGTCCACCACTTCCCGGACATGGCATGCATGCAGGCCCAGTCGGAGATAAACCGGTCAGGAGTACTGTTTGCGAAAGTATTCATAGTAATCATCCTAATCCTGACACTAATAACAAGAGAATAATAAGATATGGGTGTTTCTCAAAACAATCCATTCTAATCACCAATAGGGACCTGTATAGTTCCCTGGCGTCTCTCAGGACCCTTAATAGGAGAAACTTCCATATGATATTGTGTGTGTGCAGAGCCGCCGGCTCTTTTCCCACGCTTTAAGCCTCACAAGTCTGAACAGAGTTGAAGCTGCATCAAGACTTCAACAATGCACTACACCCTAAACCTAAGCCCTAAACGATAAACCCAAAACCAAGGTAGCATCCTGGCAGCTGTCCTCACAGCCCCTCCCCCCTGAGTCCACACTGAGGCGGGCACACAGTATGACTTCTGCATGGTCTCGTCCATGCTGTATTCACCCGCCAAGCGAGACAAACTGGTTTTCGGCGCCCTTAGGAAGTGAATCGCTTGAAAGTCGCAGGTGGCAGCGCAGCGGTAACGAAGGCATCTGAATGCTCGTCTGGCGGTGTCAGTTGCGATGGCCCGGGCGGCCGTTGTGGCAGATGAGTTCATAATGACTGTACGGGAAGACTGGAGGATCATGAATCATGCATAGACCACATGTGAATCGCATCGAGAACCTGAAATGAGAGTCGACATGATGAGGGCGCGCATATTCAATGTAGGTGCTGCATTACAGGCAGGACGAAGGCTCGCAGTCGCCGTGATTCATGTTCATGATCAGGTGATCAGAGCGCACAATGCCGACACGGCCAACCAGTTAGAAATGTATAGAATTAGGTCCTTCGGCTTGCCGATATCTTGCCCCCCAGTCGGCAAACTAAGGTCATGCAGGCAGGCAAGAAGGGACTTCTACCGTAACAAGCTGCACTAGTTTCCTGTGGCTCTGGGGAGTCATCTTTCGCCACTGCACTTGGCAGCGGGTCCAGCTTACTTCAGAAAACTGGAAGACAGAATTCGGAACCTACAAATATCGGTGCGCCGACCTACTTGTCATCACTAGCTTCAACCAGCATGGAGAACTCTCCACCTTTTACTTGCTTCAAGCCCTAGGGCTCCATGTCTATAAATATGACGTACATTGGGCTATTTGGAGCTTAGGGGAGGGATCAGGGCAACTCCATAGCTTGACCAAGTGGCTCCAGAGCTTCACGGATAAACGCCCAGTCCTGATGAATCGGTCCAGACATAGGATGAAACCACTGTATAAACAAATAAACAAATATATATATATATACGAATACCTGCGGCAGATGTTCCCGGTGCTGCAGATTTGAAGAGTCTAGGACACTGGAGCAAGCAAATTCTGATTGAGATTTCTATGGAGTTTTCCAGAATTTCGTGTGGGCCTACAAAAATGAGGGTTCGGAATAGGTCCAATGCAGGCATTCTTTGATATACTTATCTCACTCAAGCGCGAGGATCGCGATTTGTCATGCAGCCCCGAAAACCCTGCACCCCAGCATGACCTCAAGCGAGCTGCGACCATTTCAGCTTCCCGGACGTAAAATTCAAGCACAAATACGTGTTGAGCAAAACTCCGCGGGTTAAAATTCTTCAACACCATGCAACTTTATGGGTCACCGATGACTGAGTCATGAAGTTCTAGCGGCTGAGCTATGTGCACGGCCAAGTTGTGGAGTCTCTGCTAGACTGCTGTGAGAGCACAGGCAGCATCCACCCTGGCAGCCTGGCTACTGACCAGACCAATAATCAATTACTTGATGTCTAGCTCGCTTTGCTCACTGAGAAATTCGCATGTGAGCCCAGACGAAGACATGAACCCCCTAAACCCTGCAACCCCTAACCACCTAAACCCTAAACCACCTAAACCCTAAGCCACTAAACCCCTAAACCCTAAGCCACTAGACCCCTAAACCCATTGCTTGCCAGGCTGCTGCGAGGATCCTCAGCTTCTTTGCAGTTTAACGGGCTCAAGGAGGTGTGGGTTTAGGATTTAAGGTTTAGGGTTCAGGGTCTAGAGTTTAGGGTTCAGGGTTAGGGATAGAGTATATACTTAGGGCGCAAATGTTGGGAAAGCCAGGAACTCCTTGCCAAGAAAAGCATTGCGTATCTTGCGGGGGTAACATCAAAGGCTATTTTCAAGTTTGTATATATATATATATTTAGATATAGTATGCAACTGTTAATGAGTGGAGGCGGTACCCAAATTTTAGCCACGATGAAGAGGCTCTCCTTAGAGTAGGCATGTTGCAGCTGCCGCCCCTCGTGCAGCAAATTCTGACTATCTGAAACTTTATCAGCTGCGCATCTCTGACGAGCTGTCCATGGCCACATCCACCGAGTTCAGAAGCAGCCTCCAGCCAAGCATCATGAAAACCTACATCTGCGGCCCACACCCCAGCGGCTCAATAAAGGATGATTGCGTACTTACAAAGGGGAATAGCCCTGATGAGGGCGTTGTTCGAAGGAGGTGTGAGATGAAGTGAGAGTCAGAGGAGTAGATGTGTAACGTCGAGAGTTGGGTGATGCCAGGCATTAGGACACTTCCCAGTAGATGAGGCCGCATGAAGGCTACTTCTTCTTCCTGGAAAAGGACATGATTCATGAAATTCACAGGTCATATGGGGATTATTCCGGGATTATGTATTTGCTATGGCAGGTAATTGCGTCTGGTTTTGTTGTAAACATTGGCACTTAACATTCTGAAGTCCCACGCTACATCTCTATTCGAGTAGGAACCATTCTGCCATGTCTTACCCTCCGATGCAAGGACCAAGAATCCTTACTAAAAGAGTACTCTACAGCCCTAAACACCTAAAACAGCACCCAAATCCTGATGTACGGGGTTTTGTCGTGATGTTTTCAGGGTTACTGTTATAGCTGTGCTAGTCCTCCTTAATTAACAAGGAATTCCCCAAAACCATAATAACTCACCATTTTCCCCATATTCCATCTACTTAAGGGGAACTATATGAGCTGTAGTCTAAAATCCTAGTATCCCCTTAATAACCCCTACAACAGTCTCCTACATAGCCCCCTACGTGATCCCTCTTGTAAAGAGTTAGACAATAGCTCTTATCACGACACAAGCGCAGAGAGAACCTGGCGGATTGAGAAGTCCGCGGCAAAATGCCTTGGGTGACATGCTGCCCTTTGTGGAACCATGTTGCCAGGCCAGGTAGCCCCAGGATGTGCGTATACACGCATGGGGGTCTCCCAAAATGGGGGGTAATTAGGGGTACCATAACATAATGGGGTCTGTATTGAGGTTCCCCTTTTAGGGAAACTACCGTAACTAAGAAGCAACATCATCCTTGTCTGTTTGGGGTACCCTATACCATGCTCACACCAAGCGCCTGGACCATGATATCTTATTCCTGTAGTTTTTGTTTACATCTTTTTGCAAGGCTAAAGTATTTAGCTGTGAGAGTCCGCACCTTCTTGGATGGGGCTCAGCGTTTCAAGGCGCAATTGTGTACCTCAGGCTTAATCTAGCCGTGAATCTGAAATACACTTTAAATCCGAGTAGTCACCAGCTGCAGTGGATGTTTAAATTGAGTCGCTTCTTCCCCCTTAACCCTAAACCCTAAGTACTTCTGGGGCCTATGTCCAACCGGATTCTATGCACCAGGACACTCACTCAGATAGGGGTATATAGTTCGTAATAGCGGGTATTTAGGGTATACAGAGGGTAGATGGATGGTCTAGGCACACCATCCTTACAATCAGCGCTATGTCGGCTATGTCTTTGCAACTCCGTCACTGGAGGCCCCCTCGAAGTATATACTCTAAACACAAAAACTCTGTGCCGTTGCTTGAGCAGGCAGGGGTGCACGGGTCAGAGGGACCAACAACAAGGATTATGTAGGGACTATTATTTGGATATAATCTCCCATTCCAAGCCAAAATCCAGGTACATAAAGCATACCGACCTTCACATGTCTGACTCCCAAGCTGTACAGATGAAGGCGAGCTGGAGTTTTTCAAACATCTGAATCAGCCTTTTGAAGGTCCACGCACGGTTCTCAGTGGAGTTTGACATCTGGGAAGGCGCCAGAAGTTATCCTAACCGTAAGCCCCACCTGCAACAACTCATGAACCTCTTAGCATCTGTCTGCGTCTGAGGGGCTCTTGCGGATGGCAGACCAGTAGTGGTTCTTCACCTGAATCTGCGCCAAAGTTGTGATCCCTGTTGGTGGGTCGCTAGGCATGATTTTGGTTTCATAGGTGCCTTGAGGATCAACCAGTTTTTGCGCGTGCCTCTGCATGTGAGTTATGAGAGTCAGGGTCGTAAGTATAGAGGATGAAACACAGGGTTTGGTGGTGAAGGTTGGCCTTTGCGCTGATAAAAAAGGTTGCGGCATAGGAAAGATTTCGAATTAGCACTAACCACTGCCTTCGTCAGAGGGAAAGGTCTCGTGGGAACCTGAACCGCAATCCTTCGGACATTTACGAAGTAAATTCATGAGGCTTGGGAATCCGCTAGCACCAAGTTTGGTTTGAAGAGCACGATGCCCATCTCGGTCGTTATTATCACACTCATTCCTCTTCTAGGTGCGATCGGAGGGACCTCAACTTCAGAAAATGGTCAAGGGGAGGCTTCCAACAAGAATGCTCCATGCCCACGCCGTAATACTCCTCGTGCCCCTGCAAAGGTTCACAACTTTGCGAATGGTTCTGTGGGGCGGCTATGACTTTGGCAATGCATGGGCTGAGGGAGACTAAACAAGGGCCACGAAGGGAGTCTCTATCTCATCGGGCCTGCTGTGTTCTTTTTATGTCAGGATCCTTCTTTCTACACAAAGCAGCCTGTCTCTTCGCGAATGTCAGAAAGTCCTGCGTTCAAAAAGCCTCCACCCTCAACCGCTATAAGCCCCGAACAATCTCTGTGAGGCACCAGAAACCTTAGGAAACTCTGCATTTGAAAAATCTGAAGCCGCCATCCTCGCCTAAGGCATTGAGCAAAATGTAGTTGAGTAGGGAAATGAAGGGAGGTGGCCGTGTAGCCCCTGTAGCAATCCACTCAGCTGTGACAAAGATCATACTTCTCAACCGGATTCAACTAATGGTAAGAAGTAACTAGTGTCATTTACTGGTGAGTCCTACTGAATTCATTATGGGCACTCGCATGGGAATTTCTTTAGGCATCAAGTAGTGACCCGTTAACCCCTCAACCAAATCCTAAAACATGTAGAGGCCTAAGTGCATTGAACATGGGGCATATGGGGATCCAAAGTCATATTCTTTCTAATTAAGGGGGACTATAAATTCAAGAACCGCTCTAGGAGCTCTGAGGGCAGCGCCACGTTCAAGAAGGCCTCCCTGTAAGCCTGTGCAGTCTCGCTGCCGGCCTCCCCAGACACCTGGCATCTTACAGTCAAAGCTGTAGGGTCTAGGGTTTAGGGTCTAGGGTTTAAGGTTTAGGGTTTAGGTACATGTAGATACGCTTGGTCCTGCACCCACCCATTAACCGTCTATAATCGCGGTCATATTAAGGGCTGTACATGATTGTATTATAAATGTTATCCAAGTGTTAATGAGTGGGGGCAGGACCCAAAAGATACACACATATGCCTTTCTTGTGCGCGCCTGTGCATTTAGTTTTGCATATACACATACGCAAGTACATACACATTGCACATTTATGTGCTTGCACTCATACATATACTCATACACATATATACAAAGACACAACTACACACGCACATGTACATACAAACATATAAACATAAACATCTTTACACATATATGCATATGTACATCTAAACATATATACATATGTATGTATGTACATATATACATGTATAAATATACACACATATACCCATACATGCACACTCATGTATGCTAAAAGAGTGCATGCGTGTATGCAAATGTGCATATGTAGACAAGCACACACACATATACATATATATATATATAGGTACAAAAATGTATATATAGATATACATACGCACGCATGTGTATGCTGTTCACCCGCGCACAGAAAGAACATGTGCAAAGCATAAGAAGGTTCGACCGTGCAGTGAGAGAAAACTTGTTGTGAAGGAGGCTTGAGGAGATCAGCTGGAAGCAGGAACCACGTTAGAGTTGACGAGATTTATCTGTTGCCGCATGGGCAACTCAACGAAGCCTTAGCCACCTGTGACGGCACTGCTAGCGTACATAGTACATACTGGCTTGTCCCAACTCTTCAAAGGTACAGGTAGCATTTACTGGTATCAAATATGTCACCCAGCAAAGTTTGGCTACCATGTGAACCTTGAACAATGGGGACAAATGTTGAAACATAAAGAGTGAGGGTGTTATGCTGTCTTGGAGTCTGCATTTCGCCGCCGTGGCTTTCAGCAGGATGTTGGGCTTAACCTACAAAATCGACCCCTTGCTTCTATTTAAGCGTTGTTTTGCCATGGAGCTGTAAATGTTCCCAACCTTGTAAGCCCGGAGCCAGCCCCAACCCTCTAAACCCTCAACTCCTACACTGCTCACACCCCTGGGCTGTTCTAAGCCAACCTAAAGCCTGAACCCCGAAAAGACCTCAAAAGATGTCAAACAAGCCCTAAGCCCTTTACAGGCTCAGAGTTTGGGGATGGGTGTTTGGTCTCAAGCCCTCAGCCCTAAGCCCCTGAAACCTCTAAGCCTTCCCAACATCGGATGCCTCTTCGGTAACTTCCTGCGACAGGGCGGGCACCATCTGCTTCAAGATCGCCTTCAAGGTTCCAGCCAGTACACATATATATATATGTAACGAAACGTATACATATTGTGTGTATATATGTGTGTATATGTAAGTATTTTTGCATGTAAAACTATAGACATCTACATGGTGCTTGTACATTCTACGTGTGAGCACACAACTGTGTGTATATTTATTAATATCTAACTAGCTATCTATCTATACATGTATGCATACATGGTTTGCGAATCAGGTTTATTGAATTCAGGGAGTGGTGGGGTCTGGGGTTGTCGGGGTTCAAAACCTAAGGTCTTTGGCTTTGTCACCTTCGGGATATGACGCTTTACTACAGATTTTATCGGAGTTGTTTTAAGAAACTCCTCGCATCATATTTGCAACCTTGTCAGCGGTCAGGATATGGGCTTCAACGCTTGAATTTCCAGCCCTGCAAGCCTATACGCTTTGCTACAAAAGCTCAACCCTCAGCCTTCAATGAATATGGGTTATGCAGATATTCTTTGTGGAGATTCTTCCTCAGGATTATCTAGAGCTGTTCTAATTCTAAGGAAACCTTACGTGAGATATTATATATGTATATATATATATAGATCTTAAGCAGCTTGTCGTATGTCTTTGACTTCGATTTTATGCACGATGGCTCCAACCAGGTCTTGTCCAACTATTTCGCAGTCTCAGCTCATGTTGCACAGCACTGCTGTCGCCACCTTGGTGACCATCGCCCCAGGTCACAACGGATCCATCGCCCAGGATTGCAGCAAAGGCACCAGTAGTGGCTTGGATCTGCTGAACGTTCTTCAGCTCCTCTTGCACAGCCCTGCTGTCGCCACCAAAGGCAGCATCGCCCCAGGTCACGACGCATCCATCACAAAGGATCGCGGCAAAGGCACCACAAGTGGCTTGGATCCGCTGAACTTTCTTCAGCTGCTCTGAAACAGCTCTGCTGTCGCCACCATGGCGAGCGTCGCCCCACGTCACGACGAATCCATCACCAAGGATCGCAGCAAAGGCACCAGAAGTGGCTTGGATCTGTTGCACGTTCTTCAGCTGCTCTTGCACAGCACTGCTGTCGCCACCTTGGCGACCATGTCCCCAGGTCACGACGGATCCATCGTCCAGGGTCGCGGTAAAGGCACCAGCATCAACGGAAACAGCAGTGGTTTGGATCTGCCGAACGTTCTTCAGCTGCTCTGAAACAGCTCTGCTGTCGCCACCAAAGCGAGCGTCGCCCCACGTCACGACGGATCCATCACGAAGCACTGCAGCAAAGGCACAACAAGCGGCTTGGATCAACTGAACATTTTTCAACTGCTCTTGCACAGCGCTGCTGTCGCCACCCATGTCAGCATCGCCCCAGGTGACAACGGATCCGTCGCCCAGGATCGCAGCAAAGGCACCAGTATTGGCTTGGATCTGCTGAACGCTCTTTAGCTCATCTTGCACAGCACTGCTGTCGCCACCAAAGTCAGCATCGCCCCAGGTCACAACGGATCCATCACCAAGGATCGCAGCAAAGGCACAACAAGCGGCTTGGATCAACTGAACATTTTTCAACTGCTCTTGCACGGCTCTGCTGTCGCCACCAAAATCGGCATCCCCCCAAGCCACGACGGATCCATCACCCAGGATTGCAGCAAAGGCGCCACAAGTGGCTTGGATCTGCTGCACGTTCTTCAGCTGCTCTTGCACATCACTGCTGTCGCCACCTTGGTGACCATCGCCCCAGGTCACAACGGATCCATCGCCCAGGATTGCAGCAAAGGCACCAGTAGTGGCTTGGATCTGCTGAACGTTCTTCAGCTCCTCTTGCACAGCCCTGCTGTCGCCACCAAATTCAGCATCTCCCCAGGTCACGACGGATCCATCGCTCAGGATCGCTGCAAGACCCGCTCGCTCCGCGAGATTCGCGACGTTGGTGTGGCGTACTTGAACCTTGCGCAGATGTAAGGTCAGAGATTCACCGCCCTGCAGATCGGCCTCCTTCAAGGTCGCCTGCTCAGGCAAAACACTTCCGGAAGAGTCCAAGAGCAACCCCCTGCCCACACCCAAGGCGCTTTGCGCCCGCTGCTTCAGTGCTTGCACGGAGGAGTCCAAGTCAGCTTCCACAGAAACTGCCCTGCCACTCATAAGGCTCACATCCACGGTGATGGACATTCTGCCTAGCCCAAAGTCAGGAGACACCACCCTGTGATCTCAGGTGAGCAGGAGCAGAGGCCAACAGAAAAGATACAAGGTTGAAATCTGTTGAAGGGCAAGATTTCTGAACTAGGTATGCTTCAGATTTTGCGAACTGCGGATGTTGAGATCTCCAAGGCTCTGGGATAATCTTCGTCTCATTTGGGGATAGTGACATGCACAGTCTGCTCAGGCTATGTACGTGAGTTGGGAGGTTTAAATGGAACAGGAACTCCTGCAGTTTGGGCTACAAGGGGGAGCAACTCTGAGTAATTAAGCCTTACAAGCCCCTGAACCTAAGTGCTTGCCAACCCTCCAGGTCTACTCCACAGATTTTGTACCTCAATCTGCCCTGCAACCCCTGCCCCACATACAATGAGCACTTTATGGGGAGTACATAATCCTGAGCCGTAAGCCCCAGAGCCCCAAGGTTGCAGTATCCTCCTCCCAAACCCCAGAGCTCCAAATAGCCGCGGCAAAATCATCAGAAGACCATTGGGGCATAGGATTCTTGTACGCTTTGGGGTATATATTAAGGTTATATAGGGGGATATATATGGGGATATATAGGGATAGTGGTAAATAAAATGGAACCTGCTATATTATGGGGACCAGCTCTATGGGGCAGCCCATACCCTTGAACATCTTTGAACGACCTTCGTACAGGCTAATAGAGGCTGCTACATATTACACGTAGCGAATAAATGAAGCCTGAACAGGCAGGATGCAATGAGCAAGAAGGCTTGGAACATGAACCAATCTAAAAGATCTCGTCGGACCATATACTTTAAGTCGCGTTAAGGACTTCAACTCCAAACTGGATGTCGCTGGTACCATATCCCGTGTCTGCGCTCCTCATCCGCTCCCGTGAAGCGGAGGTCTGTCTTGTCCATCTTTGCCTTAGAATTTGGCAGGGCCCCAATGATGAAGCCTCCAAGATAAAGAATCAAATGCAACAGCAGGAACACGAATGCAAACTGTTATCTAGACTCTGAAGCTTTGGGTGCATGTTTTTTTCCGGCATGTATTCACAAATTGGGAAGTAACTCAAATTCCGGCGACTTTAATGGCTACTACTATTTCTCCTTGTACTACTTACCTCCCCGGAAAAAATCCTCCGTATAATACATATGCCCCCCAGTGGACCATTTCTCGCTGCTTATTCTCTTGGAGAAGTCATGCTCATCCGTCTGTGCCTCAGGCACCTGGGCCACCAAGGCACCAAAGCATTACAAGCCTCCTAGGGTTTAGGGTTTAGGGTTTAGGGAACCAAGACTCCTTTCGTGGATACTGAGGCGCATTCTAGCTGTAGCTTTTAATTGTGCAGCACATGCACGGGTGGCCCAGTATCCTTACATTTAAACATGCGTAGCATGGCATTTGATGAGGACCCATCTTTCAACAACCCTCATATCATGTCATATCACTGGTATTATTTTGTTGCTACCATTACTACCATTAGCATCGTTCTCAGTGAGGCAAGCTGCTGTCGCCATTGCATGCGCAGTATGGTCCGCCAAATGCTTCGACAGCACGGCGAGCTTCTTCTCGTCGGCTCGGGAGCTCCTCGAAGGACGAAAAACCTGGAAACTATAGGGGTTATATTGGGATAATGGAAAATAAAATGGAAACTACTAATAATGGGTTATATAGGGGTTTTATAGGGGTACATAGGGCTTTATGGGGGTTATATTTCTTAGGGTTATATTGGGATAATGGAAAAGAAAATGGAAACTATAGGGATTATAGGGATCATATAGGGTTATATATTGGGATTACAGGG